TATATATATATATATAAAATTAAGAGTTATCACATTTCTATCAGCACTTTTTGCAAAGATCTAGTAATTGTATACCGCCTGATGTGCTGTTGTATTTATTTATTTTGGTTGTTAATAATAGATTGTATTAACACGAATACATACATACATAGGGAGAATTGAGTACGTTATAGTGAAATGATATTGAATATACAAATCGCATGACAACTACTGCCAATATAAAGTATCGATGGAACGACACGTATCAGGACTACATTCTGAAATTGTTAAGCTTTTCGTAGGTAGCGTGTTGCCACCAAACGTTGATCACTTTTGGAAGGGCATGTAACAGCTATTTCGACGAAATATTCATACACTCTGATAATAAAGATTTGTTGAGATAAAGGATTTAGAATTTCTGTGACTGGTATATCCCTTATACTTAATAGAATTGGAAGGCAAAGAAAAATGGATAAGTTTGAAGCACCAGGACCACCGAGAAAGAGACCTGCACCAACTAATACCCCAGCCGTGATAAACAAAGTGTGTAGTCTTGTAACACATGATAATTCATAAGCAGTGACAAAAGTCGTCCACGTGGCCAAGGCAACATTATGCAGCATAATTAAGAAGTATCCTTATATTTCAAAACAACACAAGTAAGTGTACAAAGTTGCTTCTACAACATATCCGTTCAACTGTTGTCCACCTCAAGTAGCAGACAAATTAAACAGACACTCGTGCTATTATGTACAAAGACATAACTATCAAGTTGCCGGAAGTAGCACCTATGGATTCTTGTGCTATCGAACTGTCGAAACTGGCGCTGGGCAACCGTCATCCTATGACGCTAGATAGATTATGGAAAGCAACAAGGAGGAGGGGTGCGTTTTGGACATGATAACTTTACAACAGATCTTATTGTAATGAGAAATACGCTGCAGAACTAATGTCAAGATGCAAAGTCATCAGGCAGCATGACCGGACGCGAAGACGTAGACTCTAATGGTGGGGTGAAACTCCAAAGTCAGTCTGTGTACTTGTTAGTTTAGCATTTTAGCTATTAAGTTACTGTATCATAGCTTTAACTGGAAGTAAAGTCCAAATGGAAGACAACGTTTTTGGTTTCACGTCAGAGTTAACTATAACACGTAAATTCACGTGAGCATTAGTTATAATTTCCTCACTTTTGTGACTTTGTTAATAATTCTGTGGACAAATAAAGGTCATTAAAGCTATTCCACCATGTAGATTTAATAATGCCAACTGCTGGAGAGAATCGGAGGCAAGTGACGTTTGATTAATTTTTATGGACTCCATTAAAATATTTTAGACTAGTAAATTGCTGCGCCCATATACAAGTCCTATGAAGTTTAATGTGGCCTTCCAGATAAGCAGTCTTCACATTACGTATTCCAAATTTCAATTAACTCGAACTTTAAAGTTCAACCTCGCAATATATGTTGTAGTAATATGAGCGTTGCTTGGAGGGGAGGGGGTAGACACGTGCTAAGTTCGATTGATGGAACACACGTTTCTGTTTGCATGTGTTTAATATGTGTACATGAATGCGTCTCGGTGGTTTGAAATTATAAACATAAGACTTAAGACTATCTTTACTTGTAGTATATCTAAGATTTTATTAATAAGCAGTTACATTACTACAAGTTAGTGAAACATGTTGTTAAGACCATTAAATTAATACGCCATTAACATGTAGGTAGGAATTACTGGTAGGGATGGCTTGGTTAACCAGTATTTAGCGAGTGTTGTGTTTTATTATTCTGATATTTAAGTTTACGTAAATGACCAGGTTTCTGTACACTGAAACTTTGGTAAAAATGATAGAGTTTGGTACTGGCTTTGTTCCATTTAAAGGAACAGAATACGGTGTTCTTGAATTTCTATTGTTTTTTTTTACATTTATACTTGAGAACCAGTTTAGAGTTTTAACATATATTTTACCATGTATCAACTTGGTGAATAAGAGTATAGTTTCACGGGCTTGCCAACTTATAAATAGCATGACGTGGCAGGGAATATTCGCACAATCTAACCCATTGTAAACAATAACAACAAATTATTACCTGGTCGTTACTAGGATGAAAAAAAAGACATCTATCAGTTGTCATCAAATATCGTTTCAAAGTGTCGGCCTTTTTTTTCTTGTTGAATTAGCTCGGACGAAAAGTGTTGGCCTTTTTTTCTTGCGCTAGTCCGGTATTCAGGAGCTGTAACACAATATGATCGCAGTTAGCACACAATAGATCACACAAATACCCAAATGGATAACAAAACACCATTTGTAACATCTTACGTGAATGTGGCCTGCCATACATTGTCAAAACGCGGTGTATAATAAACGTACAAGACAATAACACCGATCTGTTTGCAATAGTCCATCACGTTGGCGAAGAAAAGTTTACAATAAAACTAAAATAGTGGGATAAAAACGACACACGAGAAAACCTAACTGATAATCCACTCAATAAACTTAATATAAAAGTTAACAAAACCAGGATATCTACACTAACACCATCATAAACACCTACTGGTCAAGATTTTCCTCAGGATAAACCCATCCAACACCATCACAAGCACCTTCTTGTCAAGATTTTTCTCATGGTAAACCCACTCTTGTCAAGATTTTCTCATGGTAAACCCACCCAACACCATCTCAAACACCTACTTGTCAGTACTTTCTTGAAGACTACAGCAGATTAAAAGTAGTAATATGATAAACCAAACAAATCAATTAGTTTCTAGTAAAAGAAAAATTGATAATCAGGCTTAGGTGACAAAATTTATCAACTTATTTTTATCGTTACATCTTGTCTCGTTTCGTGGTAATCTTTTCCCCTTAATTTTCATATGCCGTATCTTTTCCTGGCTATGACACAACTAGTTTAGGACCACTCTGCATTTAGTTTCGTGTAAGTACTTTAAGTAGGTGAATGATATGCACGCTCTCACGTGTACATATTCCGTAAAGAAAATTAAAGGTAAAAAATAAGTGTACGACTGTAATTTGAGGAAATCAATAAGAAACGTGTACTCTGTAGTACAGCGAGTGACTCCTTTACACTGAATCAATAATTGATGTTTTCCAGTTTTGTATTTCCTAGAACAATTCGATCCTGCTTTCTAACTTTGAAACTAGTTGTCATCAATATTATCATACTCAACATTTTTTGTTTCTACTTTTAAAAGGAACAAAATAAAGACAGCTTCATTAGAAAGTACGGTATAATTTTCGACTATTTGAAAGTTCTGAGTTTCTATCTTCATAGTCATTTACTGGTACATTGTGTGTAACGGAAAATGTTCTTCTGTTTCCTACTTCATTTGAACTGGTTTTTACTTGTACTATTTTTCTTTCTCACGAGAACAGCGTAGGTCATTAAAAATGACAAAATTTAAGTTACCTTTATGCCTCTTGAAAAAGTCTGAGAAACTGAGTGACCACTGAAGAATTTAAAACAGGACAAAATTTACGTCTATTTCTGTGCTACTTCATTACTTTGATGTCAAACTGAATGACCACAGGAGAGGTTAAAACGGAGGAAATTTAGGTTTGTTCCTTTGTTAAGTCGGTGCTAAACTGAGTGACCATGAGAAGGTTAAAGTGGCTGGAGATTATTACAACTTTGGGTTTGCTTGAACTACGAAACCGTATGGATTGGACATCACATACGTGCTTGTTATAAACTGTTCCATTGGTGTTCTGAAGTTGACCAAGTTTACAGAACACCCGCCGTTATTTACACTGTCAAAATCTCGTACACCTTGGCTCTAATTCCCCAGGAAATATTTTAAAATTCAAAAAACAACTTCGTTTTCGAAGAACGAACAGACAACCGATGTAAATTCCACAAAACGGATTGTACTAATTAAAGTTTAAGTGTGTGATAAAAGAGTTTTCGATACTAACTTTTCTGGCTAACTTATCCCAGTGTGAGATAGCTGCAAGAAACGGAGAGATACACACATAAAAATTACACATAACACTGAATAGATATGTATGTATGCAAAACGTTAAAAA